CCCCCACCTTGCTGCTACGCCTTCCGCCCTGCCCTCCTCCTCTGCCCGACTGTTGATGCATTTTATTGAGCATGAACATGCACAGATTCTTAAAGCCATAAGTATGCTCAAATTTCGTGGACAATTATGTGCAAACTGTGCACAGTTATGCATAAAATTGCGCATAATTATATGGCTATATAAAATTCTGCATGTTTATGCACAACACAATGCATAAGGATTTAGCGTGTATTTCCAGCGACAAAAACACGGCGGCAGCGAGCTAATGACGGTGCAACTCGCACTGTGGGGCGGGCAAACAACATGAGGGGGGGGGGGAGAGGAAGGTAACAGCCTCGTCTCTGTTGCGCATAGCAGCCGGGGAGGGGAAGGGAGGGGAGGGAGACCCGCAGCAGCAAAGGTGGAGCACCCCGCCACGCGCGCGCCTCGGGGGCACGCCGGGCTGTAATTGAAACTTTAAATATTTAACGGAGAAAACTGCAGCCACCAAACCCGCTGCTGCTGCTGCCCTCCTCGACCCCTACAGCAGCAGCCAGGGGACGCCCAGCAGGGCGTGCCAAACCCCTTGCGCATCCAAGTCACGCTAGGCGATGCTATGCCTCCCCGGCCTGCGACCCCCTCTCTTCTCTCTCTCTCTCTGTCGCACGCGCGTGCTACGCCTGCGCAGCGCGGCCAAGGTCCAGGGCGCCGCCGCCGTCTCGGCTCTGTGTCCACACCGTCTGTTTGCGAGTCATTATGGTAATACGTCCTGGCGCGTCCCTCTTCCGGCGGGGCCGGGACGAGCCACGCCGCTCCGGCTGCTGTGGTGGGCGTCTGCTGCTGGACCACACTCGCCGCACCCAGCAAGTTAGAAAAGCTGTCGACCTCTCACACGGTGAAAATTGTCCCTTCTTTGTCCAAGAATCATCGGATTAATTCAAGAATAACGCCCCATGCAATTTTTCCTACCCCATCCTTGAGTCCTTTCAATGGTCCGAGGACCAGTTTTTACCGTGCAAGTTTGCGCTTCGGAATGCACTCAACCGCTCGATGACGCGCTTCACAAATCTCCTGCGCATACAAGTAGAATCGACGAGAGGTCTACTTGGCAATCGATGTCAAATCATTTGGCGATTCGATGAACCATTAATTTCTGACTGGAGACATTTAGTTACTATAACAGCGTTTTTACAACTGCGCTATAAGGGAAAATGATACGTTTTATTCATTAAGAGGTTTTCTAAACTATGCTTGTTTTCTAAAATATAAATTGTTCGGTTTTAGCCGCAAGTTTCAATCAGAACGACAGTGTAGCGGCACGCAGCGACCTACTTTGACATTCCCCTTCCATTAACGGGTCCGTGCGACCCCCCCGTCCCGCCCGTCTCGTCTGTCCATCTCTCC